GAACACGCGGAAGAGGCGAAAATACTGGTATGGTTGAGACATCCAGCGACCGATGGGAATCGAAGGAGAAAACACAACTTACGCGTTGGCAACTGCCGGTTTACTAGTAGTATCACGCATGAGCACGCGGAAAGGCGAGAATGCAATGCTGTTGTGGTTGAGACACCAAGCGACAGATGAGAGGCGAGGTGAAAACACACACTGGCAAGTGCTACCCTCTAGATGTGGTGCCCATGTGTGACGCACGTCGACGTGCGAAAAAAGTGACACACAGAGCGACGACGCTGGGCGAGACCGGCCCACGGCACACAGAGCACGTGAGCGGGTCCGCCAAAGAGCTGAACCATCCACCACAAGACTGCTGTGGAGTCTTTCCATCGGTCAGCCCGAAAGAGCTGCTGCCTGCCCACGCCACATCGCGAAAGACAAACACACACACACGCGTGCACCTACATTGTCCAGCAGAGAGGGAAGTTAAGGACGGCAGGGTCGGCCTCCAGCGCCTTAGCGACCGGCATTGCCACCGCGTCCAGCACCGCCTGCTCCTTTCCCTTCATGAGCAAGAAGTACCCCTTGAGCGTCTTTATCACGATCACGGCGAACGACCCTGGGTCCTCCATCATGCTCAGCAAGAGTTCCGCCTCGTTCGCCTGACGGACGAAGAAAAGGCGACAAACGGGTTTCCGTTTTACATCCCAGAGGGGTGGGGGTTACTACGAGATGCGAGTTATCAACTGCCGGACTGCTGCTGTCACTTTGTATCGAGAAAAAAACGGACACTCACACTTGTGGGCAAGACGAGAGTCTACCACAAATCCACACGCCCCCCCCCCCCCCAAGGTACCTGCGTGGCATACTTGTAAGGGCGGCCAGACAAGAACACTCTCCCCCCCCCCCGGCCAATCAGGCGATAATTGTTGTCGAATTTCAGCGCTCTGCCAAACAATGACAAGTACAGATGCAAGAGTTTCACAGAACGCATAGCCGCAGCAGTATTTCTCTGCGGCAAAAGGAAGCGGCAATGGTAGTAGAGGTATCTGTTGCTGTAGAAGTAGCAGCAGGAATGGCAGGTAGGGGATAGATGTTGTAGGAGGAGCAGCAAACAGTTGTAGATTTAACAACTGGTGCTGTTTAGTAGCCGTGTAGTTGAGCTCTACAAACATGTCATCAAAAGCAACCAATCTGGCCAGTTGGCGGGGTCGTACATTTCTTCTCCGACGCCGAAACAACCCCGCTCGTCGAAGACAATGCTGGCCTTACTCTCAGGCCTTTTCTTTGTGCTGCGTCGCCACCCCTGCCAGCCTCTATGGTCTTCTTTCTCACCATCGCCCCGAGCGTCGCCATGGTCGGCACGGGCTGCTGCGGGGACGCTCTTGCGGCCTCCACACGGTCCGTCTTCCGGTAAAGCTGGAGGAGCACGTGGGAGAAGAGCGCGATGATGCGGGAGAGGCTGCCCCCTCCGGGCTCCGGGTTGGTCTCCCCTCGCAGGTCGACCTCTTCGGGCCTGATTTACACGGCAAGAGCGGCAAAGATCACGTCGTGTGCCGCACGGGTACGGAATTTATACTCGTTCGTTCACGGACCCAGAAACGAGTTGTACAACAACAGGCGAACAAAAAAGAAAAGGGGTGGGGACCAATCGAGCAATAGCAGTGACAAGTAGAGCAGCGGGAGTACAACAACAGGTGAAACAAGGAGGGAGGGGGGGGGGGGACCGCCAGAGTAACCGCTACAATTAGAGGAGGCCATAGATGAGAGAGAGTCGCGGCCAAGGAAGAGCCATGCTTTCCTCGTATCGCATCAGCAAGGCCGCTTGCGGGCTACATCTACATCTCATCCGGTGATACATACGTTTCGAAAGCGCGTTCTTTCTCCCGGACACAAGAGTGGTCCACGCCAAGGACCGAAACAAACTGGCCGGCAGCAAGTTAGGTAGCTAGCACCGAACAGCAGTTGCTGGCACGTCACGTGGAAGAACGCTCTCTCACCTGATCTCCTTGTTGCATGTCACGTGCAGGAAGGTGCTCAGCACGCGAAGGCTATCTCGCACGTGCCCTCCCACCCCAAGCTGGAAGTCCGAGGGCGATCGGGTGGGGAGTTAAGGGCGTGGCGCGATGCACAGCAAGACAACAATACAAGAACGACGAACGGGGTCAGCCGTGGACACAAGAGTCGGTGGCGGGAGGCTATCGCTCTCCGTACGCATGTACCAAACGGGTGTTTAATCTTGTGTGGTGCGATGCCCATGTGTGTGTGGGTGTTCGTCCTATCTATTCTGGCGCCGGTTTACAGGACTTTCGGCGTATGTACCTGACGTTATCAGCCGGGGTCACACAAGAGGAAGGCCACACAGCAGCTTTTTTCACTACCTGGTATTTTTTTATTGCCCCACCTTTCACGTACGAGTACAAAACCTCCATTCTTAGTCCTTGTTTTGCGTTTCCAACGAGAATCATCGCTAAGGTATTGTCAAATACGACAATCCACGCCGGTGTGGGGGGAAATGCTGTGGCTGTGTGCACATGCCGCCATGATTCATGTACAGCGCAGTCGTCCCGCAGGTAGCAAGCACCCATATTTTCACAATACGGCGTGTCTAAATCCCCCCCCGGTGAGTGTCTAAACACCCCCCCGTCTTATCTCTGCCCACAAGGAACCAATGGAGTCAGGACGTGCACGGCTGTGTTGCTGTGATGTGGGGCTATCGCGAGATACATCGTACAGCGGAAACGGTGCAGGTTTAGTGCAGCCCATGGCTGATGGGCAAAATATATCCGTTGCCCCAACCTGCCCCCCGGGGGGGGAATACTGTCTAAATACCCCCCCGTCTGTATCTCCGCCCACAAGGCACCAGTCGAGCCAGGACATGGACGGCTGTGTTGCTGTGATGTGGGGCTATCGCGAGATACATCGTACAGCGGAAACGGTGCAGGTTTGGTGCAGACATGGCTGATGGGCAAATATATCCGTTGCCCCAACCTGCCCCCCGGGGGGGGGATTAGTGTCTCAATACCCCCCCGTCTGTATCTTTGCCCACAAGGCACCAGTCGAGCCAGGACATGGACGGCTGTGTTGTTGTGTTGTGGGGCTACCGCGAGATACATCGTACAGCGGAAACGGTGCAGGTTTGGTGCAGCCATGGCTGATGGGCAAAATATATCCGTTGCCCCAACCTGCCCCCCGGGGGGGGATTAGTGTCTAAACACCCCCCCGTCTGTATCTCCGCCCACAAGGCACTAATCGAGCCAGGACATGGACGGCTGTGTTGCTGTATTGTGGGGCTACCGCGAGATACATCGTACAGCGGAAACGGTGCAGGTTTGGTGCAGCCATGGCTGATGGGCAAAATATATCCGTTGCCCCAACTTGCCCCCCGGAGGGGGGTTAGTGTCTAAACACCCCCCCGTCTGTATCTCTGCCCACAAGGAACCAATGGAGTCAGGACGTGCACGGCTGTGTTGCTGTGATGTGGGGCTACCGCGAGATACATCGTACAGCGGAAACGGTGCAGGTTTGGTGCAGCCATGGCTGATGGGCAAATATATCCGTTGCCCCAACCTGCCCCCCGGGGGGGGATTAGTGTCTAAGTACCCCCCCGTCTGTATCTCCGCCCACAAGGCACCAGTCGAGCCAGGACATGGACGGCTGTGTCGTTGTGTTGTGGCGCTACCGCGAGATACATCGTACAGCGGAAACGGTGCAGGTTTAGTGCAGCCATGGCTGATGGGCAAAATATATCCGTTGCCCCAACTTGCCCCCCGGGGGGGGATTAGTGTCTAAACACCCCCCCGTCTGTATCTCCGCCCACAAGGAACCAATGGAGTCAGGACGTGCACGGCGGTGTGCTGTGATGTGGGGCTATCGCGAGATACATCGTACAGCGGAAACGGTGCAGGTTTGGTGCAGCCATGGCTGATGGGCAAAATATATCCGTTGCCCCAACCTGCCCCCCGGGGGGGGATTAGTGTCCAAACATCCCCCCGTCTGTATCTCCGCCCACAAGGCACCAGTCGAGCCAGGACATGGACGGCTGTGTTGCTGTGTTGTGGGGCTACCGCGAGATACATCGTACAGCGGAAACGGTGCAGGTTTGGTGCAGACATGGCTGATGGGCAAAATATATCCGTTGCCCCAACTTGCCCCCCGGGGGGGGGTTAGTGTCTAAACACCCCCCCGTCTGTATCTCCGCCCACAAGGCACCAGTCGAGCCAGGACGTGTACGGCTGTGTTGCTGTGATGTGGGGCTATCGCGAGATACATCGTACAGCGGAAACGGTGCAGGTTTGGTGCAGCCATGGCTGGTGGGCAAAATATATCCGTTGCCCCAACTTGCCCCCCGGGGGGGGATTAGTGTCTAAACACCCCCCCGTCTGTATCTCCGCCCACAAGGCACCAGTCGAGCCAGGACATGGACGGCTGTGTTGCTGTGATGTGGGGCTACCGCGAGATACATCGTACAGCGGAAACGGTGCAGGTTTGGTGCAGCCATGGCTGATGGGCAAAATATATCCGTTGCCCCAACTTGCCCCCCGGGGGGGGATTAGTGTCTAAACACCCCCCCGTCTGTATCTCCGCCCACAAGGCACCAGTCGAGCCAGGACATGGACGGCTGTGTTGCTGTGTTGTGGGGCTACCGCGAGATACATCGTACAGCGGAAACGGTGCAGGTTTGGTGCAGCCATGGCTGATGGGCAAAATATATCCGTTGCCCCAACTTGCCCCCCGGGGGGGGATTAGTGTCTAAATACCCCCCCGTCTGTATCTCCGCCCACAAGGCACCAATCGACTGACAAACACCGGTAGAAGTGTGTGAAAACATGCACGCACAGCACACAGCAGCGGGCAGCAGGTGAGGCCATCGGAGCCTTGTACAGGGGTGCGAGGTTCATGGTGGGGTATTAGACATATCCCCCGCCCTCCCGCCCCCGTCATCGGGGTTGGGTTTTCGTCGCTTGGCAACGACGTTGTAAAACAGGCCGCCCCCCCTGGTGTTTGCCAACGGGGTTGGGTTTTCGTCGCTTGGCAGCAATGTTGTAAAATAAGCCGATCACTTCGTGAGCTCGGCAACCAGGTTACCGCTTTTTTCTTTGCCTTTGGTTTTGTTTTTTTGCGGTAACCATGAATGGTGGTCGAGTAGATCATGTTGTGCGGGGTGGAGAACCCTCACTCCGCGCAAAGGGGATAATCGCACGTTGTGTTAAATTGGTCAAGCACCCTCGAGGCAGTTGCACAGCGCTTCCAACTGTCTCTGGAAGTGAAAGCACCAGAAAATTATTCAAGTCATACGCAGCTGTCATCCGCAAGCAAGGAAGTAAGCACAAGATGCCGAACACCCTTAGCAGGATGCAGCGCACCCTTCATGCGACTCGCCGACTACCTCACGGCCCTTCGCGCTTGGTGATGTGAGAGCCTGGTCCGGTGAGAACCCGGCGTGCTCCGTCCTGGGGTTGTAGGGATGCGAGGTCAATGGTCTAACGACTACGGCATGCACGACTATGAGTACACCCCGCCCCCCCCCCCGGAGGAGCACATCCGTAGTTTACCCCACCGGCGGTGATACCACCTGAACGGAACCCTTCGGGCTACGTCGTTCGGGCTAACGATGGGTCATACGGTAGCCCTACAGCGAAGCAACACAGTTAAGCATGTCCTGTGTCGACTGAAGTCTTGTGTGACGACATACCGCTGGGGGGGGTAAGCAAGGCTTTTGTACCCCACCAGTGAGACGGCGGTGTTCGCTTCCCACTGGGTGTGTGTAAAGCTGTGGGTAGAAATGCTTGATGTGCTGGTCGCCTCACCTCGTGCCCCCTGCTGTGTGCTGTGCGTGCACGTTCCACACACTTCTACCGTCGATTGGTGCCTTGAAGCGCTACATACATGTACAGCAGTGGAATTCTTTCTCGTAAAGCTGAAAGAAGTCCGCCTCAAGAAGAAGATAAGAAGTATCCGGTTCCCATTGGGTATGTGTAAAGCTGTGGGCAGGAATACTTGATGTGCTGGTCGCCTCACCTGCTGCCCGCTGCTGTGCGCTGTACGTGCATGTTTTCACACACTTCTACACGGGTGTTTGTCAGTCCATTGGTGCCTTGTGGGCGGAGATACAGACGGGGGGGTGTTTAGACACTAATCCCCCGCCGGGGGGGGATTTAGACACGCCGTTCACAAAACGTGCGAAAAACAAGCGACGCCGGCCCTGCGCCGTTCGACCAACCACAACGGGAAAAATAACTCCCGATCACGAAAAAGGAAAACATCCGCCTACCTCTGGCCTAACATGTTCCGCTGCGGTGCCCGCTCAAACAACACTACGCTGACGGGAAGAGGAGTGCGCACCTTGTTCGACTGCGCGAGCTCTCGGCACGCCTGCTGCGCGAAGCCGATGTAGCGGTAGACCTTAGATCGGTCCAGGAAATGCAAGTGGTACACCACCATCACCAGGTAGCAGTTCACCACCTGCGTAGTAGGTTGTTTGGGTGTTTGGAATAGAAACAAATACCATCGCAGGCGTTTTCCTCTTTGTCGGGGGAAAAAACGGCGGCTAGCTACTGATGTTACCTGTCTCGAAATTCGAACTCACAGCTGTTCTCGCTTCATACAATGACCAACCCGCCCCTAATTACCAATCGACAACGGTCAAGAGGTATAGGCCGGCGGGTTTTTTCTTTGTTTTGGTCGTTGGGCAAGGGCGTTGCAGGCGTCTGAGGGCACACGCCCACAACGACACCTTCCCACCAGGCGCGGAGTGGGCCGAGATCAGAGAAGAGAGCAAGCGAGGACGGCTGGCTGTCGGTCCGTGTACGAATCGATTGCACACATGCAATCGCCGCCCGAAAGCGACCGGCGACACAGGAAGCAAGCCAACCAACCAACAGCAGTGCCCTTTCAGCGCAGCCGAAAATCGGAAATTCCTCTCAAATCAGCCACAGCGGCCTCCCGGGCCAACCACAACCACCCGCTTACATCGGCCACAACCTCTACAAACCCCACACCAACAGTCAACTTCGTCACCCCCCACACCCTCCAACTGCGCCACAAGCGTAGTAAGCACAATTCGTACCTCGGGTATGAGCGCGTCAAAGCAGTCCTTCAGGTGTATCTGCGCCCTCGACATGTATGCGCCCGCCGAGGCCTGGTCGCCACTGAACACCGCCCCGACAGCCACGCAGCCCAGCAGGACGGCCTTGCGGGCGTGGTACGTGTTCTCCTCCGCCTACCGCGCGCAGCAAGCAAGTGGCGGAAGCATCCGAACGTGAATGTACTGCTGTGTACTTCATGTGCAAGGCACATCTTCGCTGTTGGCGCGGGTCCGGGCGACGGTTTCAGGATGTACCTAGGTGTACCAGGGGAAGGTATTTCTGAGCCCGTCGATTTGATCCGCGATGCTGATACAAGCGTCCGGACCTTTGGCGGTTGCTTGATTCGCCTCTGTCGACAAACAATCGTTTTTGGCTACACAGCCATTATTGATCCACGTTTTCGAACTGCAAAGACACAGGGAAGCCCCCCCCCCCCCCCTCCGCAATGGATTGTGGAAAATATGTGAGACATAGGGATCCGGGGGAAAATGTGGAGGATGTTGAAAAAGATGACAGAATGCACAAGAAGTGCGGTGATGTTGGATGGGGAAATTTCGAAGTACGTGGATATACTCCAAGGATTCGCACAGGGCTGTCCGATGTCACTCACTCTTTTTAAGATTTTCATCAACGATTTGATAAGGGTGGTTGAAGCAGTAAGACAGGGAGTCCAAGTAGGGGGAAAGAGTGTGTCCGGACTGATGTTTGCAGATGATTTCGTGGGGGTATCCGAAACACCATAAGGGTTGCAAGAACAAATAGATGCGGCGGTAGGATACACCCGAAAATGGAGACTGTCGGCGAACGTAGGAAAATGCGCAGTAGTGGTCTGTAACGAAGACAAGAAAAATCCCGTAGAATTCAAATGGAAATGGGGGGAGGAAGATCTACCGGTAGTAGACAAGTATACGTACCTGGGAGTAGAGATTTCGAAGGAGTGCTCATGGGACGCACACATAGCGAAGTTGATTGGGAAGGGTAAAGCTCAGATAGGCAAGATGGACGAGGTCCTTACGGACCCACACCTAGACACTAAGATTAAGAGGTGTATTCTCTTGAATGTGATTGTACCTAAGCTAGAGTATGCAGGAGAGGTATGGGAAGGTAACGAAAAGGCCGTCAAGCAGCTGGAAACGGTGCAGATGGCAGCGGCCAAGAAAATACTAGGATGTTCAAGTACAACGAGCAACACTGTATTGAGAGCAGAATTGGGAATGTACTCTCTTAAAACAAAGAGAGACATGCAGAAGTTGAATTGGCAGTACAAGGTAAGTAGAATGTCGGACGATAGACTACCAGCCATGGTTGACAAGGCAGCTTGGGGAAAAGCGACTCCAGGGAAGAATGGAATCAGATGGGACAAGGTGGTAGAGAAGGTTTGGAAGGAGATAGGAGACGAGGAGGAGACGTTGGACACGGAAGGGTTCGGGGGGTTCAAGACGAAAGTCAAGGAGATGCTAGAAAGTAGGGAGGAGGCAACCCTTCGGAAGAAGGTACGAAGCGAAGACCACTTGGAGATATACGGGAAGTTGAAAGAAGGGATAGGGATGAAGACGTACTTGGACGGCCCCATGGACTACGCGAAAAAGCTGAAATTGCAATTTCGAGTAGGCGATCTGGACTTGCCAGAACGGAGGAAGAGGTATACCAGCCGTAGGAGAGAGGAAGAGGAGGATAGACACACATGTCCATGTGGCAAATCGGAGGAGAGTAGACCCCACATAGTTGGGGAGTGTGAGTTGTACAGGAAGGAAAGAGAGGATCTCGAGGAGGAAATGAGACAGACAGGGTGTGACATGGACAAGTTTGGTAAATTAGACAACAGTGAAAAAACGATCGCAATAATTGGGGATAGATGGTGGGCACAAGAGGCCCTAGAGGACGGGGATAAGATGTGCAAGAAATTTTTATGGAGTTTGTGGCAGAAACGTAAAGAGCTCCCAAATGTTGGTGGTGTCTCTAGTAGGGGTAGGAACGGTGCTCCGTCTCGAAAGGGACGCGTGGTCAATGGTCAAATGACTACGGCAAGCAACAAATGAGTACGCCCCCCCCCCCCCCCCC